TGTGTTCGAATTCGAGGCTAATCGTACTTCCAATTTATTTTATTCACTTCATATCTAAATTATTCCTAGAATTATTACTAATTGATCACTTGTTCGTGTTTTCTACTGTACTACTTATAAGGATTATCAGATCCCCATTCACCTGGGAACATCACAGTTTGTTCCTTTCCAGCCCTTGTTGCACCTGCAGGTGTAAGTCTGCCCATATCTTCTTCTGTTGATACACCGCCCGTTCACACACGGATTGTCCTCAACGCACTCGTTGATATCAATCTCACAGTGCTGTCCACGTCGACCCTCGATACACTCCTCGCCCTCGAATAGTTCCATCGATCGGCACTTTCGACCAGTCCATCCAGCGTAGCACTCGCATTTGAAATCACCTCTTTCAGACTTATCATTGACACACTGGCCTCTCCAGCCACAGGGATATCTGTTGCAAGCCCTTCCCACGGCATTTGAATTTTCTGAGCAGGTGGGACCATAGAAACCGGCTCTGCACATGCACACCTTTGTGTAGTCGCGCCAGTTGCGTATGCACCGGCCCCGGTTCTCACAAACAGGACAGTCCATTTCGGCCTCACAGAAGGTGCCGACATACGCAGACGTACACTCACACATTGGCTCTCCAGCATCGTCCAGCACACACTTTCCACCATTCTGACACTCGCCGTAGGTAGCGCACTTATCCACTGGACCCACGCGCGGATCAATCTCGCAGTTGTCGCCCTCAAAGGGTGACTCACACTGACACGTATGGGTGTTGACACCGTCCACACAGGTGCCTCCATTGGCACAGGTTACACCGACACAGTCGTCGATATTAACATCGCACAGATCTCCCGAGTATCCAACCTCACACACACACTGGTACGAGTTCACCTTGTCCTCACATGTGCCGTGTCCACAAACCACGCCAACACATTCGTCGATATCGATCTCACAGTCGGGACCGGTGTATCCGTCCGCACACTCACAAGTGTAGCTGTTGAGGGCATTTGTACATACTCCTTGGTGCAGACACGGGCTAGGGATGCAGTTGTCGATCTCCACCTGACAATCCTTGCCACCATATCCAGGTGCACAATCGCACTCGTAGTCGTTGGGCTTGTCGGTGCATGTAGCTCCGTTCTGGCATCGGTTGAGCGTGACACACTCGTCGATGTCCACCAGACATGTCAGTCCTTCAAACCCAGATTTGCAGATACACATGAACGAGTTGACACCATCAATGCATTGGAACCCGTGTTCACCACATGGCTCGTTGATGCAATCGTCGATGTTCTCTTCGCAGAACTCACCCGTGAAGCCCGATGCTGCGCAGTTGCATGTGAATGAGTCCACACCATCTTCACATGTTGCTCCATTCTGACACAGTTGATGGTCACAGTCGTTGATATTAACCTCGCAGTTGGCACCTGTGTAGCCCGCGATACACACGCACTCGTATGCATTGTCCTTGTCCACGCAGTTAGCACCATTGAGGCAGGGGTTGGGATCACAGTCGTTGATATTATTTTCACACGTTTCTCCGCTGAATCCCGGTGCACACGTACACTCGTAGCCATTAACGAGATCTGTGCAGACTGCTCCGTTAGCGCATGGTGTTAACACGTTACACTCATTAATTTCATCAGCACAATTGGCACCCTCATACCCATCTGCGCACTGACAAACTACATTGTCAGCTGTGCCTATGCAACTCGCGCCGTTACGGCACATGGCCGAGCAGTTGTCGATCTCGCAATTGGTGCCGGTGTATCCTGCGGCACACTCGCACGTCGCCAGATTGACACCCTCCGTACATATACCATTTTGGCAGTATCCTTCCACACAGTCGATGATATCTTCTTCACAGTTTGCACCATTGTAGCCAGTCCCAGTGCAATCGCACAGAAACCCACCCATGTCACCAACGTCAGTACACGCTCCGCCATGCGCACATGGCTCAGCGGCACAGCCCGAGGAAGCAAATTCACAATTCTTACCGAAAAACCCTCCCACACACGCGCACGAGTAGTCATTGACAGCATCTGTGCACGCTGCGTTGTTCTGGCACGGGTTCGCGGAACAATCGTCGATGTTGTTGTCGCAATTCTTACCGTCCCATCCCAGCACACACGCGCATGTGTAATCGTTAATACCATCGGAGCATTGGCCATTCACACAAGGATTATCGAGACACTCATCAATATCGAACTCACAATCGTCCCCTCTGAACCCGGCATCACAAGTGCATGTGTAGGCATTGACACTGCTTGCACAGGTACCGCGCATGTTGCACGACTGGGAATTGCAGTTGTTGATCTCGTTCGAGCAATCTGGACCATCATATCCTGCGACACAAGTGCATGTAAAAGCCTCGACGCCCATGTCAGTGCACGTACCACTGTTTGCGCATGGATTAGGATCACAGTCATTCTTATCATCTTTACATAAATCGCCTTCCCAGCCTGCGTCGCAAGTGCATTCGAAGCCGTTGACCAAATCTACGCAATTTCCGTTAATGCATGGGTCAACCGCGCAGTCATCTATGTTGTTCTCGCAAAATTCACCGTCAAATCCAGGGGCACACACACATTTGTACGAGTTCACATCATCATCACATCTCAGACTATTTGCTGTGCACGCATTATTTTCACATTCATCAATATCCACCTCACAAATATCGCCAGTGTAGCCAGATGGACACGTGCAGACGGTTTCCGATGCACCGGTAGCACCGATGTGCAGCACACTACACGATCCACGTACACAGGGTGAAATCGCACAAGCTTCCTCGCTGGCCATTAGTGAAAGACAAGTATTTTCCTTTTGTTGTTGGCTTACGAGGACCGCAGTACAAGCAGGACCAAACGTGGTGTCTGTTGATAAAACGCTGGGGTACATGACGTACTTTTTGTTTTCTTCCGTAGCCTCAACATGGTTGCAACCCCAGTTGTGCCCCAATTCGTGAGCGATTAACTGAACTCTCGTCACCGCCAATCTAAGACGCGTAAAAAGGAGCTGGGACACTCCAATGTTCCAATCTTGCCAACAAACTGTTCCCAGATATGCAACGCCAACTGTCCCTGAAGACCACGAACGGCCCGTGAATAGCATAGTTAAATCATCATCTCCGTTTCCCGCCCAGGTAGTATAAACCTCATCCAGTAAATCGTAAGGATCTTGCGCTGTGTACTGCGGGGCGTCTGCGGTACGCACTGTAACGCTTTTGATAGTATGGATTATACCGGAAGGAAGATATAACTGGTTAACTGCATTGATATGATCTGCAATATCTAGAATAGCCAAATTTATACTGTCAAACTGCGCGACATACTCGGCATCCAAGTCCACTACAATCTCGGCCACTTTCAGGCCCTGTACAGCTCTACGCTTTCGCCCGAGATGTCCACCCATATGACCGGCATGACCGTGATGTCCAAAATCGGGCGAAACCTCTGGAAGTTCATCGGAGGTTATAAGCAGAGGACTGGTGCTTGTGTATTTGGTACTTGCGCTCTCGGAATCGAGTGATCGTCTGCCGCCTTCTTGTGGTGGAGG